TTAAAAGTAAATTATTGTGTTATTGTGCTGCAAATACCATTGACCCCATCTGGCCAAATGTTAGAATACTCCCTTTATACATTTATTTTAGAATTTTTCTCTGTTTCGACATACATTGTACCAGTGCGTGATTTTCCATTAAGCATAAACCTGTAGATGGAATACCTACCATGTCACTGTAAATTGATGTGTATCATATATACATGTACTTTTATCACATGGCTCATGGAGCCCAACTCACCCACTCTTACAGAGAATCATAGTAAAAGGTGTAGTGTGGGGCCAGACAGGTTGATGTGAGTCAGCCTAGAAAAAGTTATCTGGTGATGCATTCATACATGAAAAATCATTTTCAAAACAAGTTCCCTCTAGTAGCAATTGTGAGTTTCTTGTTCAGAGAAAAGGAGGAAAGGTTGTTTTTTTGTAGGATGTGTTTGTAGTTTTCCGGTGGTAATTTTGTAGGTAATCACTCCATTTTTGGTTCAAACAAAACCTCAAAATTGTAACAACTTATTGATCATGTAAGGCAGGAATAGCAAAGCAGACCAAAAAGCGTAGCGCACACAGCCAACTGGTTAAACAGGTCTTTTTTTATGGTACAAAATAACCATGCAACATTGCAGGGTATTTGTACTCTATTTGTGCCTTATCTGTACTGTACTTTGTGCAGTTGGATAATAAGTACATTTATTATCCATCTGCACTAAGAAGAATACAAATTGTGGGAATCACAATGGTTATTTAATTTTGTAGTGTAAAAAAACCTGTTTAACTAGTCAGCTGTGTGAGCTTCACTTTGCTATCTGCTTAGTTTTACCTACATTATAAGAAATGTGGCTAAAATATAGCACTTATACAATAAATAACTTGTTAGACATTTTGGTGTGTAGTGATGCTGAGTATTTCTACTTGTGGTTTTTATTTTGACTCACCCTACAGGCTTGTAGAAAATACAGCACAACTTTTAAAAGTATTCACTAATATTACACACCAAAACGTCTAATAAGATATATCTACATACATGTAGTTTACCTTTTGGAAATAGTCTTACTCCAGTGACCTTTTGCCTCTAGTACTCATACTGAGCACATACTTGCATGCTATTACTTCTAGGAAGAGGAGTATCCTAAAATCCTGATGGGCCTTTTTGTGGAGAAGCCAACACCTTTTATACCAGAGTTTCTGAACAGAATGATGCAGCTAGAGTATCCCAAGAAACGCATTGACCTATTTATTCACAATACAGTGAGTACTACATGTACCAGTTGTCAACTGAGATTTTGTGCTATTATTTGTTATTTTTCTGAAATTTTTTATTTTAATTATTATTACTTTGATCCCTTCCCCCAACTGGATGGCCCAGTTTGGGGGAAGCAAGGAGGGTTGTCATTTAAATTTATTATCCAAATCATCATCATCGTTATCATCATAATCTAATTGTACATCTATTTTATTTTCTCCTTCTCCATTCTTGATAGTCATCATTGTCATCATAAAAATTAGTGTCTCACTTGTTTGTTTCATTGTATATTTGATGTATTCATGTATTCGCTGTTAAGGTAACTGCTGTTAGTATTTCTGGTCATAAGTTATACTGGTCTTACTTTACATCTAGGTTCCATATCATAAGTCACAAATTGGAGAATGGCTCACAGACAAGATCAAAAGGCAGTTCAACTCGATTACTGTGCTGCAACCTGAAGATAAGGTGACTGAGTATCAAGCCAGGAATCACGCCATGTATGTGTTATTGCTTCCTTTTGCAAAGACAAAACAAAAACATATGTTGACTTCATGTTGCTGAAGAATATTAACCCTTAAACTCCCATGAGTGTCCCTCAGGAAGCATTTCTCCGTACAGTATCAAAGTAGTACCTCATCAAGCAGAAAAGTGATAGGTATAAAAAAATGTATCAATAAGGGAATTACTAGTTGATCCAGTACAAATTTTTCAACATACCATCCCAAGAATTGTATGGCAGATAGTAAGGAGAATTACTATTGAGAGTTTGGGAGTCAAAGGTTGTAGTGATAAATAAAGGGAAACCTATATTAGATTTTCTTAACTAACATTTCGGAAAGTGTTTGTGAACTGTTGTAGAGAATTTTCACTTTAATCTCTTAGTTGAAATGTCTGATTACAAGTTTCCTGTAATTTTACTCAATCAGTGAGATGTGTGAGGAAAAGAAGTGTGACTACCTGTTCACAGTGGATGGCTCTGTTGTTCTTACTAACAAGAACACACTGAAGATTCTCATTGAGCAAAACCGGTCAGTTAAAAACATAAGCTTATCTTTTTTCTTTTGCAACATCAACAAGATCAAATGCGGCTAATTTGCCTTGCTTTGGTTATGCAATGCCTTAAATGTTGGTACATACAGTCAACTCTCTCATAAGCAGACATCCTCAGGAATTGGCAAAAGTGTCTGTTAGTAGAACTGTCAACTACAAGAATTATTCTTATAAGTGAACACCAAAGAAAAATAGGGTGTACATGTACACGTCTGCTTATGGTAACTTTTGCTTCTTTTGCTCTGTCAAATGTAATTTTTTTATTTCCAGTTCAGTCAGATTTTATTGCCATTAGTTAATTTGCAAGCACTTTTTAATTCTTTACCAAGGTCCTAAAATTTGGAACTCTCCTCCTGTTTCAGTCACTGGTTCGTCAAATGTTCTGAGCTTTAAGAGGAAAATACAAGAGTCTTTACTTTTTAAATAACACTGACTTGGCCAACTTGCATCCATTTTAATTGAGCTATTTCATTTATTTCTAAGGCCTGTTTTAGCTCCCATTGTCTCGAGACATGGCAAGCTATGGTCAAACTTTTGGGGTGCTCTGGGAAGTGATGGATTCTATGCCAGGTCACGCGACTACCTTGCAATTGTCCAGAGGCAAAGAAAGTAAGTGCAGTGTATCTCTTAAACTTTCACCCTTTCATTTCCTCCTCATTACAATATCAGTGGGAGATGTGGTGGCGTAGTGGTTAGTAAGCTGGACTCTATGTTGAGAGGTCAGGGGTCAAGACCTGGCTGGGTCATTATCATGTGTTCTTGGGAAAAACAGTTTACTTTCACAGTGCTTCGCTCCAATCCAGAGTATAAATAGGTATTGGCAAACTGTTAGGAAAGCCTGAAATGGTGGTGAGGTAACTTTGCCATGGACTGTTGTCTCATCCAGGGGCAGTAACACTTTCTGCTCTTGAAACCTGGGTGAGCTGCAGGAGCATGGACCATTTTGTTCAATTGATATTTACTTATTTTGCTGCAATATCAGTACATCTTTCCAATCAGAAAGGTGATGAGACAAAATAAACATGTACAAGGGGATAGGTTGTGATTGAACACAAAATTCTCAGCACTAAAATGATCAGAAGTTGTGGCAGGCAAAGCAGAGAATAGATAGTTAGATCTTTGCATTACATGAAAGTAATGATAATATTTTTAGTAAGATCTCAATCTGTCCACTTTCTTATTTTAACTGGACCTAAGCCACTAAATGCCATTTTTTCACAGGGGTGTGTGGAATTCTGTCTTCATCTCAAGTGTGTTTTTAATCAAGAAAGAAGTCTTAAAGAAGATTCATGGAAGTTTTGGTCCTTCCCAGCTTGATCCAGATATGGCTATGAGCAAGTTTTTAAGGGATAATGTGAGTAAAACAGTAACGAGTCGGCAATTAGATACTCATGATGTTACCAAGCTATAGTGTAGTGCTGCAATATTATTTTCTTAACAGATAAAATTGTGTGTTAAGTAAGTAGAGTACATCTCTGAGACTGGGAAAATCCATTTGATTGGTCACAAAAGTGAATGCTGTAGCTACAGATGGTATGCTCAAGCCAAACTGTTGATATTTATTTGTTTTTGAAAGTTCCAGTGCAGAGCTGAACACAATTAAATTTCTAATAAACATTAATTTAGTGTTGTGTTTCCTTTAGGGAATTTTCATGTATGCCACCAACCTACATGAATTTGGCCGCTTGTTAGAGACAGAGAACTACCGCACAGATCATCTGCACAACGACCTGTGGGAGTTGTTTGACAACAAACTGGTAAGCTCTCATTCAATTTTTTGTACTTCCAATTGGGATTACTCCATCATAGAGGCTCTATGAGGATGGGTGGCACTAAATGATATGAATTTGAATTGCTCTATAATGGAAGTAGAACTTATGAACTTGTGCTATTTCCAACCCTTCAAACCCCAAGAGTGACGAGCATCTAATTTCTCCTTACAGCAATATTGCTGAACCATTCATTAAGATGATGAGAATTAAGGAAATGATCACCAAACTGAGAGGCTTTGATTGTTAAACAAATTCTCCTTGTCAGTACCAAGCAAAATGTATAGAAAAGAGTATGGAGAATGTGGATACTGATGTCAGGGTGTAAAGGGTTAAACCATTAGTATGGTCTCAGAATAAAAATGCAGGACAAAAAGTGTAATCAAGGGCCTCGTTATGACATCCGTTTTATAATCACGCAAATTAAAATGTTTCCACTTCCAAAACTTATTAAATACTTTCGCCAAATGTATACTTAAGTGAAATAGATTCAAAATGATGTTTGCCAAGAAGCTTTTTTAAAAGTGATCGCTGTGGACATCTTTCGAATTTTTGGAACGTTTCGTAGTTTCTCGGGCGTCTTCAGAAATTATCTGGTCCTCCACATAAGTCTCATAGCAGTCTCACGTTTTTTACTGAAAAGAATTGAAAGTTTTGTCGTGTGCATGAGAAATACACACGACAAAACTTATTTTATTCCTGGTATAAGAGGTAAAGTGAAACAAGTATTTGATGAGACAAATTTGTTCTGATAACTTTTAGTGGTTACATTTGAAGGTGGTGTGATATGATGTTGTGATTATGTGTTCCAGGACTGGGAAGAGAAATACATCCATCCAAACTATTCCCAAAACTCAAACCTCAGCATTTCCATTGAGGAGGTAAGAACGTTATTTATTATCCATGCAGAGTGTACTTATTGGTAACTGACTTTTCCCAGTCAGAAAGGTAACTCGGCGAACAAGTCAGACTCGCATATTATTGTTAGCATGTGGAAAGAAGCAGTAAGGAGTCCTTGTACCCTCCCTGGGTGGGATACTGGTCCATCGCAGCTCATCTCGTGAGCTATCCTTCCCCCTCCCCTAGGTGGAGAGTTTTGTCGTTCCCAAGGACAGAATACCATAACCCAAACCAGGGCTTAACCCTTTATTTCCCAAGATCTGATTGTTAATTCTCCCTTCTAGCTGCTACACTGCTTAACTAGTCATGAGAATTTGGTGTTAGTTCAAGATAATAACTTCTACCTGACAAGTTTGAGTATTTTGAATACCTGTTTGCGGGATAATGTTGGATATTAAAGGGAGAAATTACATGTTCATCACCTCCGGGAGTTGAAGGGTTAATCTGGGTGCCCACCTTGTAGTCCACTTCATCTCTTGCCGTTATGAAGAAAGCACTTATCGAAGGAGCTATAGATGAACATAATGTAATTTCAGTCATATTGAAGTGAACAAGTATTAGCCCGCATACTAGGCTGTATTGCTTATGTACTAATGCAAGAGTTGCTGAGGACCATGGAATGTTTATGGAAACAAAATACGGAGTAGGCGTTCTGACTCAAAAGTTTACCGTGGCGATTAAGCGGTTTAGATAGGGAAGGGATGGGGAAAAGCTTACAGAGCTCCCCTGCAACCAGTTTCGCAATTTGATTTCTCCACTAGTCGTTTTAGGTTAGTAGCAACAGCTCTTGGTAGTCAACCTTACTATGAGGATCTTTCTAATGAGACAACGGGCCGACAAAGTAGACTTTCTGTCGTACTTTTTTTTCTATTTTAACACGAAGTGTCTTTTCACGGAAGGCAACACTTAGCATGTTTTTTTTTTTTTTTATGATTGGGCGATCCCGTGTAGTTCTTACATTTCGAGAAAAACGTTTTTAAGACATATTTAATTGAATGTTTTATCTTAGCCCTGTCCTGATGTGTACTGGTTTCCTCTTGTGTCGGATACGTTTGCCAAGCATCTCATTGAGGTAATGATAGTTAGGA